ACATTATATAGTTACACAAACTAAATTAACTTTCTAACGTGGCATTATGACAGGGTAGCTGGGAGGGAATGTAAAAGAAAATACTCAACAGCTCAAAATTAACAATAGGCCCATTTATTCAAGGTAGAATAGTTCTCCCATTTTAGCTTGAGAGGACTGAAAGTCTTTCTGTCCTCCTCTATGAGGGGAACTCTGCAGCTGGCATGTCTGGAGAATCACTCAACTACATTCGCAGCTTTACTCAAGAGTCAGGCAATGGCAAGAAAAGTCTTCGTCTTCACTAGGCACTGAAAACCAACATCGAGAAATATTGGCTTTGAGATGTTCCAATTTCATCCTTCAAGGACCAGTTAGTTCAATTAACTTCTCCTAAAGGAAGCCAACCTCCACAAACACAAAAGATCTAAACATACTGATAAGATTTTCATTTCTTTACAAATAATAGACAAAAAAAAAAAGTCTTCAGAATTATCTTGATATTCTTGACACTTGTTACCACAAAAAAACAGAAAACTGTCACATGGGAAAAGACAGGTCTCTGAACCCCACACAAAAGGTAATTAATATTGTAAAAGCAGAGAGAGAACACATATGTAAAATGTAAATTATATAGTTACGCAAACTCAATTAACTTTCTCTAAAACTGAGAAACACTGATCTGAATGTCTTTTCATCAAATAATGTCTTATGACAGGTCTTATGACACTGCCCAGTACTGCAGTACTCTGCATATTTCTTTTCCACCCAACCTCTGCACTCCCCAAGACTTTGTATCTTCTTCAATGGCTTCTAGAAAGTATTCCTATAACTACTGAATGAATTCACAGCAAGTTGTTTCACAATACTGTCTTTCTCTGTTGTGTGCTATACTCCCAAACAGGACTCCATACTCCAGGAAATGGTAAATTTCTTCTGCTTTTCAAATCCAATTAAAATTTTGTCTGAGCTTATAACGATGAATCCTTCCCTAACTCTTGAGAATCAAAGTCATTATTACGCGGGTATTTAAAAGTCTGATCTCACTTTTATCTGCTAAAGAACCATTTGAAATGTGTTTGTAGAGAATTGGGAGATCATCTTCAGGAAATCCAAATATTGATAGTGAAGAAAAAAGCTCTAACATTATATGTTAGAAAATAACACAAAGCAGAGTATTTCAACTTTAGGATGCTGTGCTTAAAAGACGTTATCCACAAATACGTAATCCTTCTTGTAATTCCATCAGGAGGAACATGAACTGGCCAAAATATAGCCTTGAATTATGTAACAAGTCTCCTATTTCTTCGTATAAAATATACTGCCAAAGACCAACAAACCCAAACTGCTACAATGAAACCCGTCCCCACATTCCATGGCTTCAGGGCAATTCCATAAATACAGGGTCATAAAAAGACAGCCTTCAAACTCCTAGAGCCAGCACTCCATTTTAAGGATAGGAAATTGAAGACAATGACATGTGATCATGTAGTTACAGCAATCTGTGGATCCTTTTAAAAAGTTAGCAAGTGGCCAATCTTATCTCGGAAATCCATCCACAAAACATAATATAAAATTCATGCAATATAGATGATGAATATATTTGACTGAAATGTTAAAATTTTATAGCTGGTATGCTTTAAGATACAAGTAATATTCACCATATTCACATGCCGGTAGAACAAAATCTCCGGAAGACGGAATGTTCAAATGGCTTATTTATCTCAAAACACAATTTGTACCCCAGAATTCCAGTGCTACAAATGAATGTAAATGGGCTTTTGGAGTTCAACATAATACCTGATCAGAGAAAAAAATGTACACTCTTGAACTCTCAATATAAAGATACAAATGTTCCCAACTAAGCAAAAACTTCTGATTTTTTCTGTTAGAATTTCAAGAGAATAAATTTAAAAATATAACTGCTATACTCCCTATAACTGTGGGAGATTTGTTTCAAGTCTCTAAATTTTTGGTTTTTAAATTTGATAATATTATAAAAGATAATTCCGAGAATACTGCGTGCCACACCTTAATCAGAATTTCATATGCATTATTAAAATAGGAGAATCATTAAATTACAGGTTTTAAGGCAGGCTTTCAGGTTTTAATTGCTTCTTGATACTATTAATTAAAGAACTTGCTGATCACTGAAAAAAAAAATCCCAGTAATTTTACATAATTAAGGTACAATAACCATAACCAGAGAACTAATTAAGATGAGAGTAAGTAAAAAATTTACAATATTAATAATCTAACCAAAATATAAATTAGTTATTAAACACAAATCTTTATTAGGCAATGTTACTAGGCATATTTAAATTAAACCACACAAGGGGTTAAAAATAACTACAATGAAAGGCCAACAGCCCAGCAGCCCTGTTGAGCCAACATTCCCTTCTCTCCTCTCCTCCCCCTCCAATCCTCTCCTCCCCCTCCAATCCTCTCCAGTCCAGAGTGAACTGCATGCCCCACTGCACAAGCCCCAAAAAGGTCACACTAGATGGCAGAGACTTTTGTAAGAGAACAGAAATAACTCAGCAGCTTTGTTACCATAGTCTCTTTTAATCAGTATGTTCAAAATCCTTTAATTAGCACTCTGTCTACACAAGGAAAGCATTTCTTCTGTGCCAGGGGAGGGCACATACGTATGTACACAGTGTTCTGTTGGATCAGCATCACAACATAGACCTAGCACCTCAAACTGTCTGCCAGGGAACTGAGGAACATAAAACTTTTTTAAAGGCATGGTACCACAAAATTTACATAGTCCATTTGCATTTCTTTTACCAAATAACAAAATGATGACTAAGTTTGTCTCATTTAGGCATCAATTTATTTCTGGACTTTTTTCCAGCAGAAATGAAAGTATTTTAAATGGAACAATAACTTCTTTAGACAATTAAATGTAGAATATTCAAACTTAATGTAAAATAATGTTAACAAAACATAAAAACAGATAACATTCCAATATTGTTCCTGTTCTCATAATAGATCTTCAGTAGAAGGAAAAAACCACTACCTCACTCAAACGGGAATAAATCACAAGACACATTTTCACATGGATACTTTATATTTAAAATTTCATCCAACCACAAAAGTCTTAAAACTTGCAGACTAGATTACACATGAATATATTTCCTTACCAAATCTGATTAACTGGAATCAAGACAGAAATTGGTAAAAAAGATAACTATTTTAAAATCCATAGCCAAGAAACAAAGGAAACTCCATTAGTAAAATGATATTTGCAGTATTTTAATAGGGATATGTAGGCTACATATTTATTTTTAATCTATCAAGTTGTGTATATATATATATACTATAAGATGCAGAGTGTGTTTGTATATGTATTTTTATATATATATAATTAAACAAAATGATACTCTTCCAAATATCTGACTAGAGAAACAGCTAACTAAATTTAAGATAAAGGGAATTATTAGGCAAGCAGCCTAATTAGGCAGGCAACATAACTGCTTGAAAGCCAACTCTTTCACACCCCCAGACGTGAGCCCACAGCACTTCTGTACAATGGGAATAATACCACTATTTCGCAGGCTGATATAAGAATTAAATGAGATGATGCCTTTATAACACTTGGTAAAAATCCAAAAGTTTGTTGGTAAGACTGGGGGTTTGGGGGCAGAAAATAGGTATTTTCATTCATTGCACAACCTAGCAAAATGACATAGACACATATAGTTAATTATGTACCTATATACTTATATGCCGTATTCACTGTAGCACTGTTTGTGACTACCCTTCAGTAGAGGATTGGTTAAATAAATTGTTACTTTCCTATAGGAAACTATTACACAATTTTTTTTAAGCTCCTTATATAGAAAGAAAGTTCTCCATGGTAAATCATTGAGAACAGTATGTATATTACACTACCATCTGAGTAAAAGAGGAGTAGAAATTCACATTAATTTGAATATATAAAAACAAACCCCCTAAAAAGTTAATTAACAGTAATAATTACCTACTGGTGATGAAAGTGAAACACTGCCTGACATATAGTCAAGCCTCAATAAATGGAAGCTGTAATTATTCCCCTCATCAGTATCATCATAATAATGAAAACATATCCTTAAAATATATATACAGAATACATTCAAACTAAATCCGCAAGGAGGTAAAAAGCCAAATCTCAATTATTCATTGGCTGATTATCTACTTGAGACCCAAGCCCTTCATTTCCTCTTCAAAGGTAAGTAGATTTGGCCATTTTACTGTTGGCTATCACCTTCATCAGAAAGTGAGCTGAGGAAAATAATAAAAAAAAACAGTAATTTTATTTTTTTTTTGAGACAGGGTCTCATTCTGCCACCTGGGCTAAAGCGCAGTAGCATCATGATAGCTCACTGCAACCTCAAATTCCTGCGCTCAAGCGATTCTCCTGTCTCAGCCTCCCAAGTAGCTGCGACTACAGGTGTGTGCCACCACACCCGGCTAATTTTTCATTTTTGGTAGAGATGGGGTCTTGCTCTTGCTCAGGTTGGTCTCAAACTCCTGGCCTCAAGCAATGCTCCCACCTCAACCTCCCAAAATGCTAGGATTATAGGAGTGAGCCACCACACCTGGCCCATTTTATTCAATTTTGATCAACAGGTTTTAATAATAGCTTTTGAAGCTGAAAGGGACCATTAAAATCCCACAGCACAACCTTCCAAAGTTACATATAAAGGAACTACATATAGAAGAAACTACATATAAAGAATTCCCAAAATTAAAGACAGTTCAAAAATTTACAATCTTCCCCCTAGTTAAATGCTTTTCCATTTTAGTACTGATAATCTGGAGGAAAATGGAAAAATAAGCTAAACTGAAATTAACTATCCTTGCTAAATGTCCTCTTCCCATCCGTTATTATAGGTGACTACATTTGCTGACATTAAATCCCACAAGCAATCATAGTAAGTAGAGTACAGGTGAACAGAGAATTGAACAACTCAGCCCTGAGATTTCCAGGACCAACCACTGAATGAACATCTGTAATAAAATCTGTAAAGTTTGCTTACACTAGAGATTGTCAGAGGCATGTTGAAATCCTTGCCACCTTGCAGCCGGAAACCCCAAGGAGCTGGGCCAACCAAGGACACACTGTAGTTGCTCATGATTCTAATGGCTCAAAGTCCAATGCCAGGAGATGAAAGACACTGTGAAAAAAAAAATGAGATGGTTAAAAAAAATGTTTATTTGAAACCCTAGTACATATTTAAATGCATTTAATATAAAGCCAATTATAAATTGTGTTTAGTATTTTGTTTTTGGGGGGGTGAAAGGATATAGAGGATAAGTGTATATAAAGTTATTTATTAATTTCAGTCTAAGAAAGGGAATCTATGAATACACAATTCTTACACTCATGCCAATTTGCATAGTCTAAAGATTCCATATCAGAATATATTTCTGCCTGTCAGAAGCAACCAGCAGGCCGGGCGCGGTGGCTCACGCCTGTAATCCTAGCACTCTGGGAGGCCGAGGCGGGCGGATTGTTTGAGCTCAGGAGTTCGAAACCAGCCTGAGCAAGAGCGAGACCCCGTCTCTACCGAAAAATATGTAGAGAAAATTAGCCGGGCATGGTGGCGCATGCCTGTAGTCCCAGCTACTCGGGAGGCTGAGGCAGAAGTATCGCTTGAGCCCAGGAGTTTGAGGTTGCTGTGAGCTAGGCTGATGCCACGGCACTCACTCTAGCCCGGGTAATCAAAAAAAAAGGAAGCAAACAGCAACACTTAAAAATATATACATTTAAAAAAAAAAGAAAGAACATATTTCTAGATAGACATTTGATGAGTTCTACAACTTGCTACAATCCTATTTTGTGGCTTCTTGCATTCAAACTCTAACCAAAGTACTTTACAATGCTTTATTAATGTATAACAGAAAGAGTAAGATTTTATTGCAGGTTGAATTCAAAATGATTTTCCCCTTCCCTTCACCTCACATATTCTTCTGTTTGCAGTTGGCACTTACTTAAATCTTAAGTCACTCTAACAAATGAAAGGGACTGTGAATCAGTAGGCTCCCATTCATGCTTTCCAAATGTTAAATTCTTCAAAATGAGAGTCTAGTTTTGTTTTGTTTTATCTTGCTTTTTGAGATGGGGATCTCCTTATGTTGCCCAGGCTGGTCTCTACTCCTGGGCTCAAGAGTTCCTCCCACCTCAGCCTCCCAAGTAGCTGGGATTACAGGCACACACCACTGCGCCCAGCAATAAGTTATTTTTTAATGCATAAAACTGTTCTTTCCAATCATGAACTACAACTCGTATTTCCTCTTATAAGGACATAGTAGTTTCCACAGTTAAAGTAATATCTACCTGTGCTTCAGATAGGCGATGATAGGCAATAATCTAGCACAGTGATATTTCAGAGCCTGCTTTCTGTTTTATACGCACATCTCATCAGGCAAAGTAGACAGTAGGCATTTATCACCCACTGAATAAGATTATGACTAAGTGTGGTAGAAGTGCAAGGTTAACCTTAAAGCACAAAATTGAATTGGTGCTTTAGAAAAGGACCAGCACATCAGTGCTTTCTTTTTTCTGTCTTATAGTAAGTGTGCTCACAATCATTCTCATGGTAGTAGTTTTACATAATTTTTTTTAAAAGCAAAAAAAAAAAGTTTAACTTGGCGTTTACTACTGGTTGTTATAATAGCAGGAGAGACTGGAAGGAATGAAGTTTTTTTTTTTCTTTTAGTGTAATACTAAGAAACAGAACGGTTCCCTCTTTAACACATTAACTGCCATGTGAGTTGTATTTAACTCACGCTAGTTTTGAGCCCAGGACCTCATGAAGCTTACGTAGTTCACACGTCTCTTCACCTTGGGCGCTGCAAGAACTATTTTTCAAGTTGCATATAACTCACCCACAAAAAACAATAAAAAATTTTTCATTAAATTAGAACGGATCGTTTTGTTTTTGGCATTTTTATTCTATTTTCATAATAAAACACTGTGGTCCCAAGGAAAAGCATTTTTTTCTTGTGTGGCAGTCAACGTGTTAAAAAAAATTAAAAACGTAACAGATCTATAATTTTTAAAACATACTTCCTGGGAAAATCTGAACTGTGCAACAAAATCACCACCTTATATTACCTGTCTTTAAATATTTTTTCATTTTCTTATTAACCCATCCAAAATTTCTATCCCATTGCACCAAATTCATAGTGCCAGATGTAGCTATTCAAACCACTGGGTATACTTAAAGCAAACAGATTCCTCCTTCTCATAAAGAGAAAGTGAGGTAAAACTTTCAAATAAGCCTGGTTCTTTAAAAAAATTAAATCAGAGAAAATATGCACTGCATGCATCTACCTAGAAACCAAATGAGCTTTTCCACTAGCATGGTAGTACGTTGAACCACTAGGCAATAACATTACTTCATACTTAAGTAATAGGCACAGGGTACTAAAAAAGACCCAAAGGCCACACCAGAAGTCAAACTGCTGCATAAAGGTGAAAAACAAACAGATGAGAGCTAATAAGGACCAACACACAATGTCATTGCTTTCCTGCTACAAAAAGAAAAGATTTTCATAAAACTAGTAGGAAAAAAACGGTCTTGAATTAGCACACAGTACAAATCAGAAGTATATGAAGCCAACTGATATTTCACAGGAAGCCTGCCCTCTCTTTTTTTAATCTTTAACTTGTGCCAGGGGAAGATGATGAAAGTTAGGCTCAACTTCCTTTGGCCCCATTCTTCCCTACAAGAACATATATTTCATTTATATATCAACCCATATATACAAGCAACTTCCCCCTTTGCTTGAGGACTCCATTCCTGACTTCTCCCACTTGTGATTGAAATTTCTAGCACTGGCGAGGTCATAACCACACTACAATGCCAGTGTCATTTCATTTCTGGATTCTCCTTCTGCTCGCTTCATTTGGAATTCATCTGCCTTAAAACATTCTGTGCCCTAAGCCATGGCAATATTTTTAATTGGCCTTCTCCAGGTCTCCTCCATCTGGTTATGAGTGCCCCTTCCTAAAATACCAGGCAGGCAGGAAACAGCAGCCCCCCCTCTGCTTTCAAACACGTAGAAAATGTTGGGATTTCTGTATAGTTGTGGACTTCTTCTTTTGGGGAAAATCTAAACAATGTCTTTGCTCTAGAACTGGGGAAGGAAGCTTGGTGTTTCCCACACTAGAAACCCAGCTTCTCTGGTGGGTGGGAGGGAGGGAGGGTGCAAAGAAGAACTCGCGATGAACTACAGAGGGACAAGAAGGACCTGACGTTAAAGAGAAGTATCTTGAGATTCCCTTTGTCCCCCCGATGGAGAGATAAGGAAGGTAGAGCTGAAGAATCAAAGCCACAGGCGCGGGATGAAAGCAGCCGACGAGACAGTTTTCCAGGAGAGGCTCACGCCTAGCCCTGTTGGCCAAATAAGGCTCCCGAGCGCGCTGCTTCCGTGGCAGGCGGGTTCAGGCGTCCTCTGGGCCAGGAAGGCGGACTCGGGGTAGGATCTGGCGATCACACCCTCGACCTGCCCTGCCCAGCGCAGCCGCGAAGTTTCTTTCCAAGCTCTGCCCTTGTCCAGCACGCCCTTCCTCTTTCCACCTATTATTGTCAGACGCACGGGAGGCACAGTCTTACCAAAGCCCCCCAGAGCACGCAAGCGTTGATAAATCTGGTGTTCGCGACAGATTTGCTTTTTGAACGAGCTTTATTTCTGGACGCAGTTTTCCTCGGTTACACAATTGCAAGTGTTTGGAGGTACGTAATTGCTTCTCGCTAGTCTGAGAGCACAGAAAAAAAAAAATCACACGCCTTTTCCGTCCAGTCTCGCTTTCCCCCCTCTCACCCCTAGGAGGTTCGGGCACCACCCGACGCCACGGGGGCAGCCCAGCGACGCCGGCAGCCGGGCGGGTCGCAGCGGCGGCGCCCGGGAGCCCGTCCGCGCCCGGCCCTCGCCGCCCCCCGGCGCCGGCTCTCGCGCCCCTGTCTCCGGTGCGCCTGTCCCGGCCGGCCCGGGCTGCGGGGACTTCCAGGGCTCGCCCTCTGGCCTCACGCCCACTCCCGCGCCGCCCTCTCCCGAGCGCCCCTCGCTCCCCGCGCGGCGCTCCCACCTCCGCCGCTCAGCGCCCGCAAAGCACCTGAGGAGCCGTCCCGGCGCGAGGAGCGCCCCCTCCTCCTCCCCGGCCGCGCTTCCCTTCTTGCGCTCGGCGCCCGCTGCTCTCCCGCCTCCCCGCGGGAGATCCGACAAGCGCCTCCGGGGCCGGCGGCCACTCACCTCAGGTCCGGCGCGGCGAAGCCTTCGCCTCAGACGAGCGCTGACAAGTGACTCGCAGTGCGTGCGCCGTCCGCACCGCCCGCGGGAACTTCCGCCTCCTTGCCGGCCCGGCCCCGCCCACGGCCCGGGGCCACGCCCCCGCGCCCGGCCACGCCCCCGGGCCGCGCAGGCCGCGCCGGTCCTGCTGTGGAAAAACAAACGCGCCGCCGAGTTTCGGTGGGAGTAGTCTCAGGGGATTTCGAGCGGCACCTGGCAAAGGTCTAACCCCGCGCGCGCGTCTGTTTTGTAGCGGGTGCGTTTCTCTTTCCATAAACTTGGCGAGCAGTTGCTCAGGCTAAAAATAGCAGGGGGGCTTTGAATAAATCCCTATCTGTGCAAGTTCAGCGGCTACTGCCTGCGTGTTTGCAAGAGCCTTCTGTGCTCTGAGAAGTGCGGCCCCTGACGTTGGCTCGTCGGGAAGGTGAAAATCTGCAACCTGAATGTGCAGAAGTTAACCCTGTCATCACACCAGGAGACAACGACAGAAAACAGCGGCCGAACGTGCTTCAGCCGCTATATCCTCAGCTCATTTGTGTACGTCCTAATTAATCAGCCGCCCCCTCCCCTGCGTCTCTAAAGTTGCTCCGTTTAGCTCGAGGGATTTATTCATCAGCAAACGGGAATAATGTGCAGCGAACACGGGGAAAGTAATTCGTTGACTCTTTTACATTATAAATTGGGTTATGAAACGTCAAAGGGACAGTTCTTAACCAAGGGCGTATAAAGCAAGGGTGAACTTCGTGAGGTCCGTGAACCCGCGAATAACATTTCTATTAAACACGATTTTGTTTTGGCAGGACTACGTTGCACTTTGCCGTTGAAAATTTAGTGCCCAAATTGAGATAGGTTGGGAGTGGAAACTGCATAGTGGATTTTGAAGACTTAGTATGAAAAAAATAATGTATATCTCAATAATTTTAATCGATCACATGCTGAAATTATAATAGTTTTATTTGGCAAAATTAAATGATTAAAATTCATTTCACCTTTTTTTTTTTTTTAACGTGGATACTAGAGAATTTAAAAATACCTGCGTGGCTCACAGTATATCTTCATTGTACGGTGCTGGTTCATAGCTTTCGTCACATTTTCCAAAGGATTGCTTTGGAGGAAAGGGTTTTCTAGAATGAGAGCTTGTTCACAGAGTGCTTTAACATAGGCTATCATGTTTGACATCTCACTGAAAAATAAAATAAATAAATAACAACAGCTACTATTGATAAACACCTGCCATTGAGCTGGGTGGTGTGGTAATCCTTACGCTAACTTTATAAGATGAATGCCATCCCCATTTACAGATAGGAAAGTTGGTTACAAGAGATTACAGCTTGTGACAGTTGAACAGGGCCACGGCTAGAGTTACACTATACGAGTCCCATCTCTGCATCTCCTCATCTGTTTGCTGCTGATACAGTTACATGGAGCCTGGATCAACAAAGATGCATTAAAGACATCAAGAATCCAGGTCTTCTATGGAGGTATCACTAGAGGACAAGCATCTTGAGGTGATGAGGAGGAGCTGAGTGAGCACATCGTTGCTTATTTATGCAAATTCAATTTTAGCCCACAGTTGCTAGTCTGCCCTCTGAACCTCCTCCTGCTGCAGTTGAAAGTATAGAATAAATGAACCAAATTAAGTTATCTTGCATAGACTGATATTTATCCAAGTGTCCTCCAAAGGCCCAATTGCATCTAAATGACATGGGCAGCTTGTAGGGGGGCTCCCGGAATCTGCCTTTTTTAGCAAACATTCTATCCCCTGACTCTGGGTAATTATTAAACTGTAGTGCTTAAAAACTAGTTCCCTAGAAATAGCCCTGTAACCTCAATTTGCTGTATACTATGCTTAGATGAAAACCATGCATCCCGGATAGCAACACTTTATCTCAGTTTCTTTATCTTAAAGGAAATGATAATTATAAATAACCTTGTGAGATTATCATGAGGAATCGTGACAATATAGACATAAAGCACTACAAAACATACTTGGCCCTGAGTAGGTGTTACATAAATGATAGCCATATCAAACTTTCCTAACCAATTGATTATGAATCATAAAAGACAAGTAGAGAACTTTAACATTCATTACGCATATACTATGTTCTTGGTGCTTTATGTACATTATTTTACTTAATTCTTACAATTGTATAAAGTAGGAAGAAGCAGAAACTTAGAGATTAAGAAATTTAACCAAGGGCACACAACTGATCAGTGATAGTAGTAGAACGAAAGGTCTGACTCCAAAGCTCATGTTCTTTTCGTGACACCACAGTGCCTGCCTCTCAGTAAATTCAGTAGGCCATCCAGCATAAAGATCAGAGAAAGAAGATGCAAAGCTATGCAAACTATCACTGTTGAGGGCCATAGAGGAGCTAGCTGCAGCAAATTATGGATAAAATAAATGCTGAGTTATTTGTATATGAGGGAGGATGAAACTCCGGAACTAGTAGGGCATTTTAGAATGAACTGCCACGGAGCCATGCTCCATCTCCCTCATAACTGACATTTATGAAATGGTTGGCCATGCTTTGAAGGACAGTCTGTGACTAACAGACTAGCAGAACAAGAAGAAACTGATCCATGGGGAAATCAAACCAGTGTCCTTGGCCTCGTTAACTCTACAGGGCTAAGCAATAAGGCACTGACTACTACAAAGGTAACCGTATTAAAAGCTTCATTTTATCATAACCAGGGAAAAAGCTAGAGGAGAAAAAAAAAAAGGAGATCAAAAGATTAGCTGATTTAGCAGGAAGAGCTTTTAAGAATATTCCATCCAAGTACAGTATTTGCCTAAGTGTATAAATGTTTGCTCTAACATTTTATTATCCAATGTATGACTCAGAACCTCTTGTAGCACTTCCAAAATAACAGAAACGTTTAATTACAAGATGGCATAGCTGTGAGGAGTTTTTACAGTTGCACCCAATAAACTATAAAGTGCCAGTCTTTAAAAAGTTCCTGTATTACTTTAAGTCAGTTTATCTTTTAACTTTATTTATACTGAAAGATAAATAATAAACCACTCATAGTTATGAGTAGTGAATGTTTAAAATCTAGAATGCAGAGGAAGAATTAGCAGTTCTAATACCTAAAGAAACATCTGGCAATCTAGGGAGAAAAGATAGAAGGCATAGTGTCATTCTAAAGCTTACTAAGGAGTCCTGGAAGAAGGGCAGAACTAAAACAGGGATAGAGAGAGGAAAGGAGGAACATGGATGAGAAAGACTATAAGGGGATCCACGTAGCCTAGGCAACTGAGTAAATGTGTAATAGAGGAAGAAGGCAAAGTGTAAACTAGCTTCAGGGATTCAAGTCTGAGTTTTGGGGGCGCTCTTAATAACTGATATTGAAGGAAGGGGAGCAAGTGTTAAAGGAACCGTGTATATATCACAGGCAGTTTCTAGTAAGGAAAAAAAAAAATTCAGTTGGTGAGTGGGGGGTATGAATAAGAAAGTATAGATGGGAAGGGCACTGAGAAAAGTATTGGGGAGCTCCATCCAAGTTTGGTATTTCAGAAGGGGAGGAATATTCCCCATGATAAGATCAAGGTTTAGCCAGTCTGACGTTATACTCAGATTAAGTCAATTCATTGAGGAATCTGGTGGTTGGTTAAGAGAACAGAGAATATGTGAGAGTAATTTTGGAGATAAGATAGAAATAAAAAAATGAGTCGATAATTGAAAAGTTTTGGTATGTGAAGATGTTATAGTAGTCCCCACTTATCTGCAGGAGATGCCAAGGGGGATACGAAGACCCCCTGAAACTGGAATAGTACTGAACCATATATACTATGCACAAATTTCTTTTCCTTCTCCACGATTTCATGGATAGAAGATTCATTCTTACCATAGATCTTAGCAACCTCAGCATATAATTTTTTTCCTTTCCTTATTAAGTGGAGAACTTTCACCTTTTCATTTGAAGGAAGGAATTTCCAGCTTCTCTTTAGCATATCTGAACTCCTAGCATCACTACTCTTGCACTTTGGGGCCACCGTTGAGTAACATTAGGGTTACTTGAACATCAGCACTGTGATACTGCCACAGTCAATCTGATAACTGAGGTGGCTACTAAGTGACCCACAGTGAGTAGCTTAGACCACAAAGATAGGCTGGGCAAAGGGATGATTCATGTCCCCGGTGGGAAGGAATAGGACAGCATGAAATTTCATCACGCTACTCAGAACAGCACACAATTTAAAATTTGTGAATTGTTTATTTCTGGAACTTTCCATTCAAATTTTTGCCAAGAATGATACTGTATAAGAAAGACACCTGCACCCGAATGTTTATAGCAGCACAATTCACCAGTGCAAAGATGTGGAAACAACCCAAGTGTCCATCAATACATGAGTGGATTAATAAAATGTGGTATATGTATACCATGGAGTACTATTCAGCTTTAAGGAACAATGGTGATATAGCACCTCTTGTATACTCCTGGATAGAGCTGGAACGCATTCTACTAAGTGAGGTATCCCAA